TGAGTTGCATTTTACGGATTGTCTGGAACGAAGCCCGTGACATCGTCAGCCGTCGGTAATTAAACCAAGAAGAGCCTTTACTCTACCTTTTCACGTGTTTTTGATCTATAAAAATGAAACAGGAATAAGAGTATGTGAACAAAGCCATTTTGTTTCGCTGTATCCCAAATAGCCCCCGGTGTTTGACGCATACGAATTACAACAACTTGGGTGTCCAACTAACAACCACTCCAAATCGAACTGTCTCTTACAGGTGCAACAGTTGTTATTTCATAAGCAGTATTATGTTTGCATTGAAAGTGAAGTCAGATCCGGACATGGTTCAGTTAGTCCCACAAGTGTTCAATCAAGCACCGAATTCCCAACAGAATAAACCAGCTTGCGGTCATCCCTGACCCTTCCGACAAGGAGTGGATAAAAAGGCCGGATATCATGTCCAATCTGTGACGCACTTTGCCTCCTTTATTCATTGAATCAATACAAAAATAAGATAAATGTCGTCAGACATTTATTATTATCCATTGCCGATGTAAAACAATCTGAAATAGAACACTGAGTTAGTTTAGCAGACATGGTAAATGGAAAATCTACACGTAAGCACATTTTAACTAGAATCGGGAATAAACATCACCTCCACTGAGTTTGGTGTAATTGCGTCAATATCCTTTGAGTGAATAAGTTCGGGTACAGGACTCAAAAACAACACGTCACCAAAGACCAAAAGTGCATCATTGAAGTTACGTGACAGCAGTGTAAAAGAGGAAATAGGGACAACCGAGTGGTTTCTTTTCGGGAGCTGTTTCAGTACACACGGCAGTGGGTTTCTTGTGATCTTTTGCTTATCCGTTTTCGGCTGCTCAGTCGACCTTTTTAACCACTCTGCAAAGCATTCAGATATTTTTCTAGATAGCTGACGGCTTGTTTTTCTTACGCACGCGACACTGAAACCGCAGAGTGAGACAGAACCGGTTTGCGACTTATGTTCACTTTTGACCACCGATTCGGCTGAGGGGAAAATTGTTCTGGTCTAACGAAGTACGGTTATTACGAGAGCAAGAGTATAAATTATGAAAAGTATAAGTTGCTTCTCAGGAACCCGTGCTTTGTAATGTCCCATTCTAGCACTGTTTTGATCGAATCAATCCAGTTACCGCGGAAATGACCTTCAAATTCTGAATTTGGTAATCTTTGTTGGCATATATATATATTTTGGTCACTATAAAAAAACAATGAGCTATAAATATGCCCTATTGTGTTTAGGTCAGCTTTAGAGGAGACTAATATTCCGGAATATTTGTATTTTTTCAGCAGTGGTGTAATTTGTGATAGTTGTTCTGATCAAAGACATCCAGCGAAGAAGTTGACCAGCCAAGTAGAAGCCGTATCACGATGTTATTCTGTCATGTGTTGGTGCGGGCGTGGTCGTGTTTGAAAACATAAACTTCGGAACAAACGCAATTTTGTAATCGTCTTTCTGGCCGTATCGTTTTGTAATTTTACAAGTTGCAGGGCAATTTTGACCCTTGTGAGGCACTTTATGAGCCACTGGTGAACGGCTTTCAATGTGGAAAACTTTCCCAGTGTATTTCCGTTTTAATTCACAAACGATGATGCGTGCACCGGTAGAAGTTTGTTTGCTCCCTACATTTTCGATAAAATCTTCAAGCAGCCATCAATCGGCATTCGTTGACCGTGGCAGAGTTCAATTCTCTCACCTAAAGGGCTCTAAACAGGGCAGCGACAGCGCCTTACATCGTGCGTATACATATACAAATTGGAGAATCGAATCTAAAGGAATGCTGAATTCCTACCTACAGGTATTTTTGTTTTTAATTTTGCCTTTCAGTCTATTTTCATCGGAAAAACTTCTCAGAATTGCCGTTTTGCTGTTTAGTTTCCATTATGTATAATCAATTTTTGTTCGGCCTATCTTTCTCTCGAGAATATTATGTAACACCCGCTAAGAAGTACAAGAAGTCTGTTTTGTACTTTGCCACTTAGTACAATCTCAGACGGGTATTAGGGGGACAGCTTAGAGATAAACAAATCACCTAGATAAAAAATGCCCATGATGATGCGAAAACGAATGATCAAGGGAGAAACATTGTTTTATTCAGTTCTTCTCTAGCCGGGAGAGATCACAAAAACACTGAGATGTGTGGATGTTAGACTTTCGGCCGGCCAGAGATCGCAATAATTAGTTTGCTCAATAGAGGGCAGATCGTTCGTTTTACCGTTCAACCTCAAAATACGTTGTTCAAGTATCATATTTTAAAGTCACCTTTCAGAATTATGATTCCAAAAAGACACAATTAACCATGCAAATCGAAAGAATATCAAAAACTGACTTCCTTGACAACATAATGTTCAGGACAACTGATGAACTGCTTGGATGAAGTTTATACCAAATGTGGTCCGTCAAAATACCAATTTTCACAAATTCGTGCCACTTAGATGAATATAACACAATATTCGTTGTCTCGTCTCGGCAGGAAAACCATGTGACATGCCCACGTTTTAAGATGAAATCGGTCATATGAAAAACGCTCTCGGGAAAAATGGATACCCATCCAAGGAAATCCGGAAGGAAGACTAAAACTTAAGTCTGTGTAAGAAACTCAGAAGCAAAGGATCTTTATTAAACAGCCCTCTAAAGAAGCCCTTTCTGATTTTATTAGAAAACGCTTAGTGTGGGCAGTAAACAGAGTCCTCAATGCAGCCAGTTTGTAATACGTGGTTGCAGGCTCACCGATAACGAGCACATTCAATAAAGTAAGGTTGCCTACGCGTGTCTCACGTTTAGTTATCTTTTCTTTGAAGTGTGTTTACGACATAACCTACTCAAGACCACCGTCTACAACGGAGGTTTCGGAGGAAGGCTGGAGTGCATTTCATTTATTCATTGTGGACAGAATTTTCTATGAAAAAATGTTATCATTTTTACTTTGGCATACATAACATAGTAATGAATGTAAAAATATGAAAATTGTAACTAGAAAATAATGAGGAGTAGGAGGAGCAAAAACCTGTCGCAATGTAGAAAATTGCAGTTAGACAATTTACATGAGAGTGCTATGAATTCTTTTGATGTTCGCTCCTTGGAAACCAATAAAGGCAAAAGAAACAACAAAATTGTGAAACGTTGTGGCGTGAATTTTCAAGTTTTAAATTGTTGATCAAGATGTTGGGAACAGATAATCCGCAAAAGCGCTGCTGACCTTATATTAATGGCAAACAAAACTTTAGTGTATTCGTATGGGTTTAAAGAAAGGCTAGCACTATCTGACCATTCAGAAATGCAACTTGCCGATGATTGGAGGGTTTTTGTTGGAGGCGCCCATTACTATTATTGCTCACGTCGCAGACCCAGATCACCAAATTGTGTTTGAAACAACCTTCGGAGTTATCTTTCATGTGACATATCATCTATTCATATCCTAGTCTACACACCAGAGCAACTACGGAAGCGATCGCCCACCATAGGTACCAGGGGGGGGGGTGACCAGTGCCAACCAACTGCCACTTCCGAAATATGTTTAACGCATAACAACAGGATCTCACTGATGAGGCAATTTTATAGGATGTAACATCCCACATTACACCCCCCTACTCCCTCTCGCAACCAATCAATGTGACACTGAACAGCTGAAAGTCTGTACTCTTTTGCATTAAACATTTTCAATGTAATCGACGTAGTCAAGTTGCGAAAAGTCAATGAAAACCTTTTTACCTATAAACAAGTGTCCTTATAAGTATTTATCTGTGAAAGTACAACTAACTTATGGGTACTAAGAGAAAGACGTTATATTTCATTAAATACAGTGAGGGCGGAGTTGTCACAAGCCAAATTCTCTATTGGGTTTTGAGTATACTGTGGTAAACACCATATCTCTTCTCCTCCTCTTTTGCAAGCCTGTATGATACTCAATGGACGTGCACCGTTTACGTCCACAATGAGGAGCAGGAGACTTTTCCCTCTTTTTGTATACTGCAGAACAGCAGTAAATAGAGAGAAATTTTAAAAAAAATATGTTAATCCCCCTTTGTTTCAAAACTCTGTTGTTTAAACTGCAGATTTTGTAGGTGACGTCACTTTTGATAATAGGTTGACCCAGATTCGCACACAAAAACACAGCGAGCCCAAAATGATAGCATGATTCGCTATTGACAGGTGATCCTTTGGTTTATGTATCCAACTATTGCCCAATCACGGAAGCATGTGACATGCAAACAAGAGAGATGGATCTTTAAGATCAATCTGTCACAATGTGGAGGTGCTCTAGATTCAGGATTGTTTATTTTCTGATAAGTACATGCAGAATTGTGCACTAAATTCAATCAAATTGTTGATGAGTATTATCAGTTGTAGGTTTTCAGGTCGATTGATTGTGAGCTGAAGTTTCCGCTGTCGTCAAGCTTTCCTCCTTGTTCTATTTAAACGAAAGATTCACAATAGTCTGCTCTTCAAGCGCCCAAGAAACTGAAGATGGATAAATGAATTAGATGTAGATCAGGATCTTATTTATTTCGGTTCATTGTCATCAGTTTACATGTGGAAAATCTTAGAGTTTTGGTTTTGTACTCTTTGCGTTTATTAGGCTCTATTGGAATTTAAAACAAATTATTGCCGTCCATCTCAGCTAATAGGCACTTTGTTCGGGAAAGCGAAAACCAGACAAAATCCTGTCTACATCAATTCTTAACCAATGACTTTTCAACGAATTTTTGATTGGACGATAATGGTCATGATCAGAACAATCACAACCAATGAGAACCAAGGAGTTACTGCTCGTGAATTCGGGCAAAGGTCCGGTCACATAAGGGGAAAAGTTGCCCTCAAAACCACGTTGCGATGCTGTATCTGCACTTCAATCTAGCGTATTATGTAGTGATTCAGTGGACACGTGGGACAGCAAAAATCCCAATAACCACGATTAACTGATTCCTGTGTTGGATTTCCCTAGTCATATTCTCACCACCATATTACGGATATAACAAAGATGCATCCTACAAACCAGAATACTTCCAGACCGAGAGATAACATCTCGAATCATACGGATTCTATCATTGTCGAGGCAATGACAGAACCGACTGNGTTTCTGTTACTGTTAATTGTCCCCATTGTGACTTTGTTCGGGAACTCGTTGGTTGTGCTCAGTGTGATTCGTGAACGCAGTTTACGCAATGCGACCAACTGGTTCATTGTCAGCCTGGCCACAGCCGACATTATTCTGGCCATCCTGTCTATGCCTGTGGCCACGTGGATGGAGGTGAGCGTCTCACTGATCTGCCGATTTGTCTCCATAGTACATTCCACAGTGTATTGGTGAAACTGTCTATTATAATATGATCCAAAGTTAATGAAAAATCAGTGAAGAGATTTTGGAGTAGCAAGCTTCGATTCACCCATTCAATTTTTCAGAGGCACCAGGCACTCTTAGTGTTCTTCGGTGTGGGTCGCACTCCTTAGGAGATCGTTAATTCCCCACAATTCCATGCATTTACATGAATGCGATAACCGACAAAGAGCACTGGACAGCTGTTTTGTCCTGTTCCGGACTCGTCAACAGTGCGTACTTCTTGCGTTCCTGTCAGGACGCGAACTGCGATTGTTTGGTTTGGGACGTCGAACCCTTATCCCTGAGCTACACGGTCGACGGTCATGACCTTGTGCGAATGGCGCAATCAATTTTGGAGTAGGAAGTTTGGATTAGTCAATTCGATTTTTAAAAGATACCAGGCACTCTTGATCAGATATTTTAAACACCACAATAAAAACATTGGCTGTCTTTCAAAGATAAGTAAACGTAACACGTGATGTCAAATAATCAGTCAGGACTGTCTTGTATCAATATCCCGAAAAGTTTATTGTCCGAACAATCGAAGAGTGCCTCAGCATTTTTTTATCCCGCTTCGTTATATTGTACAGGATTACTTTAGCTATATAAATTTGGTTTAAGTTGTCTGAACAACGTCATCGTTGCTGGTTTCAGATTTTGCTGTGTGCGTATTCAAAAAATGTGATTTTATGAAACTGGTCTCAAGTGCAACTCTTTAAACCATTATATCATTCCCACTCGACTCCTTCAGTGTTGGGAGGGGGGGCGAGAAATAGAAGACCCTTAATTCATGGTTGCGCGGTTTCTGCACTCGAACTTCACAATCTTAGTCCTGCCTTTCCATCCATTGCTAGTTGTCTTTCCTGCTCACATGTGGTATATTGCAAATTAGTGAATCAAAGGTAGGTAATGCTGATAACATTAAATTGAAATGATTTCCTTGATTGGACCATAAAAAAGACATTTCATGAATCTGTGTTTGCTCCCTTTGGGAATTTCATTTGATGTGAGTAATGCCTAGTCGTCAAATCTCATCATCGTTTCTATAGTGTTTGTGACTATATTTTTAGTGCACATGGTAAAGATACGCCTGTGATGGTAATGGAAAATATGAAAATGTACGCACCTTGTTAACAGTCTACCCGATTATTGTTCCTGTTTCTGGTCAAACAATAAACCACTTACATTAATGTGGTTAGTGTGGTTAGTGTGGTTATTTTTTAAAGTCGTGTCAGCAAGGAGGTGGCAAATTTCCTTGACTGAGGACTTTTGTCAATCATTCAAAGCGTAGTACTGATAAACAAAATGTAAACAAATGGTATGCTTATTCCCCCACAAGGTTTTTCATGGTATGCTTCAGATACATCGTGTGATTATAAAACTGATAGAGACTTTCTTCGGTTTACCGGGCTGAATGAAAACGTGATATGATAACTGCGATCTGCATCTAACCGACCTGCATCCAGTCAAGATATTTCGTATAAACTCAACAAAAAGACAACTGAAAACAGGGAAGGGATACATTAGGCCGATCAAACAATGCATTTCAATTTCAAGTAGCAGGAATAAGAAGTTCATTCGTGGATCAGGTAGGGGTGAGTGTGATTGAGGACTAAAACTGAGTTATATTTTCTAGTTGAGTGCAAAAGTAAATGTAAACATCTGTTCTCTGAATAACAGGATGTTTGTGTAATAAAAACCGATTTTGTATCTACGAAGGAATCCGTATATTAGGGGATGGGTTTCTTTGTTTTCGGTTGGTCCCCACTCTTTTTCTGTTCCCTTATGGATACGGTTTTGGCTAACCAACGGTTCCGGTTGTAAAATTCCGATGAAAGCACATCGGTCTCCGTCCGGGGAAACTGGAGGTAGCCCACCTACAACTAAACCATGGAACCATAGAAACCGAGAAACGTTTTCTTTATTATGTCGATTATTGACCGTGATTTGTTCGGAACACATTCTGAATTCAACTGCAGGTGAAGTTTTATTAAATATGTTACATATTAGGCGTGAAATTTAATTTTATCAACATACCACCGGAATGAAGGACAGACTAAGTATCACCAGCGTGAAATACACCAAACTTACATTAGGTCCAAAACCAACGGCTTTAAGCTCTTCCCAAATTTAGTTGTAAGGGATATATATATTTCATCGGCTTGAAACAGACACGTGACGCAGTCTCATAACGGAACACCGTTGCAAACGAATTCGGGCTTTGGATTTCATTTTTTTAATATCGTTGGTCATTAACTTTAGATATATGTATCTGGGCCTTCATCACAATAGTTCAATCACTAAATAAGTGGTTGAATACTTTGTTTTCCTTTCCCATTGTTGTAATGAGCCGTCAAATGGACTACGCCCAAAAAACCTTTCATTTCTCAAAAGAAAAAATGTTATAAATTTAGTGAGAAAAACGTAAGATGAAGAAAATATCAGGTTCGTTATTGAACTCACCATGGAAATAATCTTGACGGCAGTCAGCGGTGAGATTATTATGGATGCATTGCACAAACCCATACGTGTGAATTCTATATGCATATTTGTGTCAAGTTACTAATGTTTTCTATTTCCCATGTTTCCTACCACACAGTGGTTTTAAAAAGTTATCAGTAAATGTCTTGATACAGAAGGTGATTCAGATATCGACAGCTGACAAACCGCAAAACATCCGCGATTCGTATTATATTTTACTTGTCCATTATCAAGCAGAACTAAATGTGTTACTGATTTATACTGATTTATACAGATAACGCAAAAACTGACACTTTCTCCTTTTTTCTTCTCAAAACCGCACGAGAATCCAAAATAAGGCTCGATAAAATAAAACTGTATGGCTTGTCATGAGCCAGCCCAGTACATCTATATTCATTCGTCCAAGATTCAAGTGCTATGGAAAACTAGGTAACCAAAATAGTTTACTAGCGATGATTCACCTCCAGTTCATGATCTCAAGAATTTTCCGACCCCACCCTACCACCGCAAAATGAGCACTGCCAAAATTGTATACAAAATGATCCGATCTGTGATTGAGATAAACATTTATGACCAACGCGGGCGTTTTTTAAGTGTACTGAGGCTGTAAAATATTGTGAATCATCATATAGCAATGGAACCGATAAACACTTTTATGCATCGATTTGTTTGTTGCTATTAACACTGAGCAGTGCTGATCAAACGCGGTACTCTAATATCGAGGTCACTGGCGTCGGTTGTGTTATTAATAAACCCTTAACGCCGCGAGCAACGTGCACAATGACCGGTAAATGTGATATCCGATTGTATTGAACGACTGATTGGGGTGAATTCATAGTGATGATGGTGGTATGCATTTATTTTACCTGTTCAAGTGTAATCTAATAAATTACTCCTGGAGGTAACAACATCCATGAGTGCGCACAATTTTGAGTGTCTATAGCTCGATTAGTATATGAAATTCATATGTGCAACTGTCGTTCATCTTCAGTTGTGCGAGACGATTATATAGAATATCGCGTCACATAATCTGCCCCTGTCCTGTCCCCCAAGCAACACTCAGTGACCTTCAAATGAAGAAATATATCGAGAACTCTCCGCAGTGAGAAAGACTGTTTCCTTATGGTCTTGGTGAAGAACTCAGCGAACCAAAACACTCCAAGGGAGACGTAAAAGTCGGCATTCAACAGAAAAAAATATTGTACAGATAACGGCATCCTTTATGTGTTTGATCATCATTCGAACTTAATTTCAGATCCGACCGAACTCTAGGAGAATTGATGGTAGTGGAAGAACTGAACTAACAGTGGATGGAATGCGGCCAGTCAGGTTGACAGCAATGTTTGCCATTCACTCATTGGTTATTGCAACAATGACAATTCTCTGTATTATAGTGTGAGCTTGATGGGCATATGCGCGCTCACACACGTGCAATTCTTTAATTTACATCTATTATTTGTATAATAAGAAAGACTATTTTATCTCACTGACAGTAGGGTCATTCACATTTAGTGTCAGATATGTATTTCTCATATAATAAAATATAGATAAATGCAAGGAAAGCTTGTTGATTGAATAAGACTAAACAACAATAGGATGCAGCAGTGTTTCGCTTTTCAAATTTCGTCCGTTAAACTCTGTGCTTCTGCAGTGAGCAACTGACTTTCGTTTATGCACATCGCATAATAGGTTCGCCCTGGATAGCCTGGATAAGTTAGGAACAAATTGCAGTTTCAAAATAGGCTGTTCTTCGACCGAGTAATTGATTCGTGGAGCAGATATCCGAAATTCATTGATATAATGCACGTTCCGTTGCATAAAATAACACTCTATAAGCCTATTTATCATAACTGGTTTTCTGATCTGAGTACCATTTAATTTATTAGGAAATACAATTGTGACTCGTTGTTTCAGTTGCTTGCGTAATTAGGAAAATAACTGGTTAGTTTTTGAAAGGGATGGAGAATCTTATTTCGACAAAAAGCAAATAACTTTTTACTTTAGAGGTGTTTAGAAAGTCGAGTACAAAAGTTGCTACCCATGTTCACCACCGGCCAAGATTTTCCTATTTATAAAAGGAATAGGGTAAACCATATGGACCTTTTACTTCAACTAACCAGAACCACCAACAAAATTTAAATTTCGCTAGGTTACGATAAGGCTAACGAGAACGCTTTTCATAAGATAAAATTAACGTCTCACCATTGAAAAAGCTCGCATTAAAAATCCTTGGTTTGCTGTCTGCCTTCAAATTGCGTCCCACGTCTCCAATGAAATGTTTTCAAAACAATTCAATCAGATGAATTTTAATTTATTTTGTTTTTCGAAATAAAAAACGATTTGCTCGGTTCAATTTCTGCTGTTGTGCAGCTGCTTCGTCGTCCTTTCCCTTGAGCCCACATATAAGTGAAATAATTCCGATGGACAATCACGCAGGGTTGTAACGTCCAGTGCAACGAATTTCCATTTGTTCATGCATATCCCTCCTGTTCTGTTGCGCGTACCAATTTATCTAATGAAGTCTCTTATGTTCAATCTGATTGAGTGTGGCTTGGGGAATTATGGACTGCCTCATGCGGGACATTATTTTGTGGTAAATTGGCACTAGTATTTGCCCAGACAAGCAGGCAGTTGCAATTTTAAATTGTTGCATAGTCTTCGCTTACAAACTTCCAGATCGGAGAACAGACAGACACCAACATTTAAATTTGATTTTACTCAACGTTTAATTGTACAGATTTGAGTAATTGATCATTACCTTGCGTAATGTTGTTATTTTTATTTATGTTTATTTATATCGATATAAAGTTTGACCACTAATTACAACAAGATAGTTTTTTCAGTTGTTTGGTCAAGCGGTTTGGTGGAATTTCATGAGGTAGGTACATCATTTATTGCACCAGATTTTCGTTTGCTTATTCGTCAGTAGTGATTTTGCATGTAGGATGTTTATTTCATATGTGGCATAGTTCGAAGGCACTGGCTGGAAATTACTTCTTATCCGGTTTCATTATTTATATCAAAATGAACTGAACTACTTTGTTACTTGGAGCTTATTGAATTCGAACTTAGTTGAAAGACGAACTTTGAAGCGCGGAAAAACTATATGTATCATGGTTATTTTACCGGATTAAATTTGCTTGGATTATTGTTGGTTAGTAATCAAGGGTGTGTGTTATTTAGTTGCCAAAGTTTTGGAGTTAATATAAATACTAGTACAAAGACAATCATCTCCGAAGCAGTGGAGCACCATCTGATGAATCGGGCTTGACTAGAAAACAAATGAAGTTGCATTCAAGACGAGTTGGTTGCTGTCTCCTCGTAGGCTAAACGATGTCCATCTAAAATGGTCAGCGAGAACTGAGTTAGTGCTTACTCACCTTCCTAACCCAGCATCTCGTTGCCACAAGTAATTTATAGAGGTGCTTTACCCACCGAAGCCTCTACGTGAATTCATCTGTAGGAATGGCGTTAAACACTAGCGTGACTTCGTGACGGAAAATCGGACCTGACTAACTTTGATCCTCACATGACATCCATCCGTATTTCCATTTATTCAATGAACGCCATCTACGTATTTTTGCACCATTTTTTTCCATACTTCAGGTCATTGTTCCTCCAATCGTGTTGCGCATGTGATAGAAGCAGACACTCACTTTTAAAAAATGAGACAATGATAACATTGATGATAGACGAAATTCTTCTTACTAACACAAATGAGATAAGCATGAGTCGTATAGACATGCGCTCTATGCAAACTCTCCTCAAATATGAACTCTTTTCTTAGTGGAGGAGGGGTGTGGATGAGAATTAAGTGAACCTGGCATCAAGTGACTGACCGCAACTGGCAATCGTTCCAGAAGAATAACATACCATTAATGAAAGCTATTTTTGTCGGAGGATAATTTTCAAAATGAACCAATTCTATAACTCACACCGTCATAATTTGCAATTGCCATGCACTGATGTAACCAGACATTCTTGATTAATCAATATTCTGCGTAACAAACATATGTCGGATGTTTATCTTATAATTGCAAACACATTTGTCTTACGTGTGGCTGTTCTGCTTGTCTGACAAGCCTTGACAAACATCGCGGGGGGTGATGCAGTTTTCGCGTATATATCAAATTGATTTACCGGAAATTTGGTGGAATAAAAATGGTAGTAGGTATTGTTCTATTTGTTCCGTTATCTATCTTCGTTTTGGTCCTTTTTGAACAGTAAACTCCAATAACGAAAGAACAATTGTTATAACTGTGGATAATTATAGTCTACAACCTGGTTTTTAACGGTTTCTGATTTTTAGCCCGGTTTACGCTTTCGACTAGAACTATTTTCAATTCATAGTTGTTAATTATAATCAAGTGATCACGCAAGAATGCGTCTCCCCCGTGCCTCAGCTTGGACTTATTTCAATTTCAAGCTTGGACAAAACGGGTCCCTCTGCTAGTTTAGGCATTAACTCAGAACCGACAATAAATATTCCTGCCCCACTTGATATCCTACATTCGGTTCGGCGTATCAAACAGTGTACCGAATTTGAACCCCACTGTCTTTTCATATCCAGCACAGTTGTCTGGAACAAAATTAACTACAAATAGAAATTAAAGGAGTCGTGTAATGATAAACGACTCAAACAAAAGCCCCCCGTCCACCAACAAAAACAACATCGAGAAGTTCAGTGTAGAGTACAAACAAAATGATGCATTACAGATAACGTCAAATCAAAAATAGATACAAGTCAATAGTAACAGTTAATATAATTTTGTCAGTCCTTATAAAGCACCATATGGCAATAGGGTATACCGTTTCATCAATTTTATCGTTTAAACTGTGGTAATGCATTAAGAGTTACAAGCTTCTGTTGTGCGTCTGTGAAATGCTTATAAAATTAATTTGTGTCATTTTCGTCCCCAAATTATTTTTGATGTTCGCGGGACTGAAGTTCCTCGGAACTATATTTTGTATAATTTTAAAAATTGTCTAAAATTGGTTTTTCCTTGAACGGCCTAAGCGGATTACAGGAAAATTAACTGCGTTACGGTATTCACTTGCTCTCGGTTAGTAGAGATTCAATGTTTAAAATTCCTCAGAGCTTTGGTGACGTACGTCTCATCCTATCTTCGCTCGGTTTCTCTTCATGCGTTCCAACGAAATTGCATCACGACCTGGCTGCAGGCTTGTTTGTATGTTGTCACTATTATTTGTCTGTTCAGGCAGAGAAAATATACCGGAAATGAACTTCAGCAAATTGTGCTGCACAGATTTGAGATTTTTTGTCCTCAGCATTCTTTCTACTTTGCAATCAACACGTGAAGTTTAAAAACAGAAATAAGCTCAAACGCATTTTACTTGCATACCCAACTCACAGAAACTTTGAGTATTGGTTTTGGATAAATTATACAGATCCAACTACTCATTGGCAAAATTTAGACTTCATTTATTCGTCATAAAGTGCGAAAGCCAAAGATTTGTATCTCGCCCAAAATAAACTGGTTGGCTATAAGTAAAATCGTCACATCAGCAAACCGGAATGACGATTACGATTTGGTCACGTCACATCTAAGTGATGCAATTGCGCTCTTATACGGTGTGCCCAGAATCCAAGTCCTTGACGAACCGAAAAATATACGCAATTGATGAGCTGTAACAAGAGCAAAACTGGAGTGTTTGGTCTGTCAGATGAACTCCGGTTTGTGAGTAATTATGCAGTGGGTACGGTGTCACAATGTGGTTTATTGGAGCATTCGAGTTTGTAGTTGTCGAATCAAAGTGGACTAATTTATTTTGTAAACAATGAAAACACTAACGGTTACAAACTTAAACAGTTATGAATCTTCAGATGTAGGTAATAATGTTATCAATTGTTGATGTTGGCATTGTTGTTGTTATTGCCACCTTATTCTTTGGACTACTCGAAGAGGGAGGGTGACTTTTCAATCATTCCCTGTGAGAATATTATTAAACCTCGCAGACATTTAGATGTATCACACGTAACTGTTTTCAGTGCACAAAATTGATTTTGAAATATCACTTAATAAGTAGTCACAAGCAAAAGTTAAATGGAAAACGTTGCCTGCGTGTTATGTGAAACTGGCTTCACTGAGATCATTCTGAAACGTATGATTATCGTTTGAAAGTGTTTTAGGAGAAAGCGTTTGATTGCTTACTAGCAATATAGTCTGCAAGTGCGACTTGGAGAAACTATCATATATAATTGTGTGATTCAGGGATCAATAGGCTAACCTACAATGGAAATAAATGTAGGCGGATAAGGTGATCCAGTGGGGAGATTGCGAATTCAGCTGCAGAGGATTAATAAATACGTTCTAAACATTTGTGCATGAATAAATAGTTCTCTAAATCTTACGCATCAATCGCGTAACGGCTTCAGATGGTGCAATATTACGGAATATTCAGAGATGCTTGTAAATGGCTAGTTGTTCTTTTAACGGTGGGGCAAATTGTGACCATGAGCCGTTCTCAACTGCACGGAGGAAGTGAGGTCGCACAACTGATACGGAGGTCAAAATAGGGGAGTGAGGTAAAGATAACATTACTCATATCATAAGACTTTGTTAAAGATGCGAAATTTAGTCAGTAATATGGAACATTTATGGCATACTTATAGTCAGTAAAGTGAAACGGAATGAGAAAGTGTTGAGCACAAATCACACTGAAGAGGGAAGTTTTGTTATCTTTCCCGGAATCGATGGCCATGAGAAAAAGAAAACAGTTTACTTTCAAAACAGGTGAAACGGCGAAAATAATTCCTTTACTATACTCCTAATAAATGAGCCACTCTTGAATTCGAACCAAAGATGAAAAGGACTGTTTTAGTGAGATATGAGTCTGCATTTTTATGGTTTAATCCTAGAACTTTCCAGTTAATATCAAGATCTAAATTGATTGAGACAGAGTGTGATTGGATGAAATGTGAATGGTTAACACCATTTATCCAGTTTCATCAATTACCCGAGAGGAGAGAATGATTGATTTTTCAAAAAGGGTTAACCAACGCTTGAGTGCAATCAACTGGTTGACCGTACGAGTTACACTCACATTAGCCTTAGCTTCC